TTCAACCTAAAACTATCACTAACATGAAAATTTATTTAATGTATATGTAGTAAATTAGAGTGCAATTAAACTAAAAATATCAAGAGATTATATGAAAATATAATAATATATACAAATATTGTACACAATATGTATGTACAACTCTATATACTACAACATATATATATATATATGTGTGTGTGTGTGTGTCGGTGTATACAAATGTATGTGTCTGCATGTAAAAAGTAATCAAAAAGTATTCAAAATTAACATATATCTGTACCAATCTGAATTTTCCTTCTGCGAAAGGCGAAAATCAAAAACCCAAACAGTTAATAATAAGTGCAAATACTGTTGCAAGTACTATATGTATACCGTTCTGGTATTTAAATCAGGGAATGATACCGTACACCTAACCTTGCTGATCTGAACTTATTCAAAATCCAATTCGAAACTGTAGCCGATTTACCAAAAACATATTACAATTGTTGACCAATCCCATTGTTTTTGCGGTATCGTTTCGTTTTGGTTTTGGCGTTATTTATTTACCTTTGCCCCGCCCATATACACATACCGAAGTTTGTACAATATATATTACATATGTATGTATTTCGAAACTATCTTTGCTAAAATTATAAATATTAAACTGAACGTCATCTTGAGCATTTTCTTTATATGCAGCTAGGGTCTGGTTCGAACATTGGGTACATTTTATTTTAGTTAGTTAGAGTAAGAGCAGGTGAATGAAAATGAAACAAAGTGAGAGGGATAACCAGAGAGACAAAGAGAGAGAGAGAGAGAGAGAGAGAGAGAGGGAGAGAGTGCAAGCGACTATTTTATTTAGATATTATATTGAGAACAGAGATTAAGTTTATTAGATTGCCAACACAACTTTTTAATTTAGCACTTATCTGACTTTATAAGAATCGCGTAGTAGGGCCACATTTACAAAAACGTTATATATTTAATTCGCAGCACGGCGGGAAGTAAGCTTTGTATGCGTTGGGCAGAATATACAAACATGCATACAGACACACACACAATCATACAAAAATACATAAATTGACATTCATACAGACATACACTTGCATTCATACATATACACAAGCATACATTTATACATACGTACATACCGAAACAAAATGTTAAATAGGCAGAGAACACAACTATTTACTAAAAAAAGGAAACAATACCAAAGCATGAAAACCTCTGGGGCTTACTTGAAACTATGAGAATCGCGTAGTAGGGCGACATTTGCAGAGACGACTTTTCTTTAATTTGCTGCGCAGCGGTAAGTAAACATGGCCATTTATGCTTGATTGCTGATTAAATTCTTGATTAATAGAGTTTCTATATATTCTTATGCACACATTATATAAATACGTATCTATCAATCGACTGACAGATTATGTGTTTACAAATGGTATATTATTTAGAACAGCCATGTTTGATTTACTTAAGTTACCGTTCACAGATACTTGACACCGAATAGTTAAGCAAACCAAATGTGGGCTGTAGGAAACTGCTTGACCAGAATATACCCTGTAGTCAGTTCCTAATCGCACTAGCATAAATTTGATCTTAATGTTGGACTTTAAAACTTATTGATATTTAAAGAAAATTTAAAGAAAAGTTATCGTAGTAGCCTTTATAATCGCCATGATCATTGCGCTTTTACTCGAGTGACCTTTAGATATGTCCAAGTTTATGTAAATTAAGGGCTCCAAGATGGGTCCTTCCGCCTGTTATTATATGACAGATATCATAGAATCAATAGCTTGGAAAAAAAACAACATTTACTTAGCTTAGTAAATGTATTAAACTATTTGCATTTGGCCATAAATCGTTTTGAAGAGCAAGAGTAAAAAGTAAATCTATTTAATCAGCTTAGGAATATGTATACTATATACCAATCCATCTGCTGATCCAGCGCCAAGCAATAATAAATTTCGAATCTGAGCACATACATCCTCATATGTTGCTCATATAATCGTATGCAACTACTTCTAATACGATAAGCAGAAGGTTTATATTTAGTACTAATAATACAAGCATACGTAATCCAGTACGGGTTGCCAACGCCCAAGCCGTAACTGTTTTTGCGTTATCTTGCCTGGTAGCTCCCCATATAGCCACTTATGTAGTTGTATACTATATTCTTTTGTTATTGTTTATTTGCCTCAGATTCGCATTTCGTATCAATGGATCGCCGGGCATCGTGTATAAAAGTGTGCAGCTGCAATCGATACAAAGAGTTTCCAGTTCTTAGCTCATTCATAACATGTCGTCGGAATTGGCCAGTTTACTAGGTCTCTGCAACAATGAGGATCCGCCAAATATTCCATTCAATAAAGGAAGTACCGCACAGGGTAAGTTATATCATTTGAAGACTATTCAAATTTGATTAGTTAGCGTGAAAAATAAAAGACTACGTATATAACCAATCAGTTATGATAAAAAATCCGGATGGCATGACTGCCTCTATCATTCAAAACGTGGCCAAGGCACACTCTCAGATTGTGTGCTGGAAGTTATATTCAGATATTATTTATCAATGAAATTCAGTTAAAGCGCAGTGAACCAATTAAAAAATATGCATATCAACAATATTTGCTTAAATTCAATTTTCATTACTAGTGAAAGAATGGTTTTTGTAAAACAAAGTTTTTCCTCTCAAAGTTTCCAACATATCGAAACCTTTTTAGGAGTCTCTAGGAACTACCAAGTATAGGAAAATTGATAACGTCCATTTCAGGATTCTGAGAAATATACAACTAGGCACATACTACATGTATGCAATAGATCCTTGCAAATTGCAGGTTTTTGTAAATCGATTCGTTCGATTCGTTCAAATAATTCGAAGAGTAAACAAATAGCCTGATTCCAGATATACTGAAAGCTCAAAACAAATTTAAAAAAAAGCAATAAAAATCTTCGATTAGTATTGTGTACTTAAGCTTATCTTTGAGAGAAATTTACAAGTTCCGAGAGATATCAAGACTTATTCGATTTGCAGTAGCGAGCGGGGGCGTGAAAAGCAAAGTTAAAAGCTTGAGCTAAAGCCGTTATATGCCGACACATACACATACATAACGCGAACTTTAATAGCCTGTACAAGCCGTAAAGTACTCTATACTCAGAGAGCAAGACAGATTATTGGTGAATTCAAACTTTTATCAACAAGTTCGCAGAGAGCTTGCAACTACAGGCAAATATTTGATTTTGAAAGTGCACATTGGAAAGCTTAGAAAACTCTCTTCGAGCGGAAGCTTTTGTGCTTTCGTTTAATGCGTGCTCGCGAGTGCTAACCAGTTGTCAGATGTGCTCGTAGCTAACAGGTCGCTCTTTCTTTGCGTCTCGGTAGGTTGTTTGTTGTTGGATCTCCGATCAAAGGTGCGTAGTGTGCGACGTGATCTTTGTACCGGCTATTGGGCGGTGGGCTTAGCTGATCAGCTGTTGCCAGGGAATTGTTGTTTATATAGCCAAATATATTTACAGTTGCAAAACGCAAGGTAACAAAGCTGGAAAGCAAGACGATGACTTCTCCGCTGCGGTTCTATTACGATCTGATGTCGCAGCCCTCGCGGGCGCTGTTCATCATCTTCCGGCTGAGTGGCATGCAGTTTGAGGATTGCATCGTGGCGCTGCGTAATGGTGGGTGCTCGTTTAAACTTATCTTTAAAGTGGAATGAATTTCTTTAATAATGGGACTTTGCACATGGCAGGCGAGCATCTGACAGAAGAGTTCAAGCAGAATATTAATCGCTTCCAGCGTGTACCCTGCATCAATGACAATGGCTATAAGCTGGCGGAGAGCGTGGCCATATTGCGTTACCTTAGCGCCAAGGGCAAGATACCGGAGCAGCTGTATCCCAAGTATTTTGTAGAGCAGGCGCGCGTTGATGAGTTCCTCGAATGGCAGCATATGACGCTGCGCGTCACTTGCGCCCTGTACTTTCGCACCATCTGGCTTGACCCGCTGCTGACGGGACGTTCACCCACAGAGGCGAAGATTGAGACGCTGCGCATGCACATGGAGCGCAATCTGGACATCATTGAGGAGGTGTGGCTGGCCAAGAGTGAGTTCCTCACCGGACCAGCGCTCACCGTTGCCGACATATTCGCAGCCTGCGAAATTGAACAGACACGTAAGTCAATTGTCTAATCCTATATAATTGGATTGCTCACTCCCAATCCTCTCCATAGGAATGGCCGATTATGATGTGCGCATCAAGTATCCCAAGATTCGCGCCTGGTTGAAGCGCGTGCGGCATAGCTGCAATCCGCATTACGATGTCGCTCACTCGTTCGTGTACAAAATATCGGGCACGGGCCCACAAGCCAAGCTCTAAGGCATTCCATATGGCAGATGATGTAATACTTTCTGTAAATAGCTGTGTACTTGCATCCATCGTTTATATTTATATATTGTAATATATTTTAAGTATTTATAGATGTTAAACATATATTAAGTATTCCAATTCAAAGAGAAAACTTTTTTTTGGGCTTTTAAAGATTATCAATTTTAACTCCTTGATTTAAGGTAATTCAAAAATTATGGAATTCGGCAGATTGAAACCCAGTTTCGAGCTAAACCAGTTCAAACCCTGAATTTCAATATATTTACACTACGAACTGAACCTTAATATTAGATAAATGTCAATTTTGGCTAGAAATCTAACATAGCCCGCATTTTGTATATAAAAATATGCACGGCTTGCAATAATTTCAGAACACAGGGCTAATTGTAAATTAACTTTTTATTATAGAAATTTTGGATATAACAATATGTTGTCACATTAAAAGAAAACAAGGTTTGTGCCAAATCCTGGGCTTACAACGCGAACCTGAAGACAGGGTGTGGGTGAACCATGAACCGAGCCAGCCAAATTTTGGTTTTGCAGCCCTTGTATATACCCAACATAAAGCGAATAAGAGGTTAGGTGTATATTCTTTCACTCGAGTAATTGCAGATTCATTTTTGTACCCCGATTTTAAGCTATATGAAAAGTTTAGAGTGATTAATTAGCTCTATAAGTACTCTTATGATTTTTTTTATTGTGTCGTCATTGTTGCTTTTATAATTTCACATTTATTTAAAAAAAAAAATACAATTTTAAAAAATAACTACCTAAAACTAATAAAAAATATTAATAATATATAATATAATATATATAGCAACGTTACGCGCTTGAATTTCTAACATTTTGCAACAATTTTTTTTCAGTTTTTGCGATAACAAAACATAATATATATAAATAAAAGTAGGGTTACAAAAAAAACTATACGTTAATGTATTTATATATATATATATATATGTATATTTAAAATTGTATGTTGAAAAAAAATCAGAATTCAGAAATTAGAATCAAATCAAGTAAAATAAAAGATAATTGGTATATACAAAAAAAAAACTATACAATATGGATATATTTATGTAAATATATATATATATATAGATATATTTCTAAATATATACACATGTGTGCATGTATGTGTGCGTGTGTATATATAAAACTACATACAACTCTAGACTACATTCACTTAATTATTATATATGCATGTATATTTTTTTGCGTTGAATTCAACTTAAAATAATACAAAAAATATGTGTGTGTGTGTGTGTGTGTATGTGTGTAAACGTGTGTATGTATATATGTGTGTGTGTATATTTTAATTATAATGGATACTTGTATGCGTTTTGACCTAATACCAAACGTCTTCTACGATAACATTTTAATATTTGACATACATTAAAATGTATACGTAATGCCCTTTTATACTAATTGCTGAATTGTTGAAATATATGTGTATATAATTTTAGTAATTTGTTTGTTTGTCAAAAGGATTATTTGAACGAAATGTTTAAATTGTTGCGTATTCTGCTTATGTGCACCTGTTTTTTTGTCGCCTGCCACTCACTAACGACTGCGTACTTCTGTTGGCAAACAGGCAGCTGCATTGAGCCCGGCTTAGTTAGGCCCACTGATGTTGGGCCTAACTGACGGTTAACATATGACGAAGTATGGCCGACTCTTAAACTAATGACACGTGAGCACCAAACGCATAGATATGTACACACATAAATAAATATATATATAGCATACATATACTTGCTGCCAATTGGCAATTGAGCACCGATGTGGCCAGCTGGGCCCTCGGGCAGTGCATTCCCTAAATCATGTCACTAACAAATTTTAAAGCAAAGCAATTAAGGCACCAACAAGTGTTGCATCTACGCACTAGAAGCTACCCATAGGCATAGACAGGTACAGGTACAAACAATGAAAAAAAAAAAAACCAACTACATGCATACAGCCGAAATACGTTGCAGTTCATACAAAGCAGCTGCCTGCCACAAGACGGTGCCAACTCTCTCTTTCTCTCTCTCTCCCCCTCTCTTTCACTTTCACTTTCTCGCTGTCTCTATCTCTTTTAAATTGTGTGTCTGCTCTAGGCAGGCGACATTGTTTGGATTACGTTTAAATATATGCAAACATATATACATATATATGTGTATGTATATAGTTTTGTATATATATATATATATATATATATGTATGTACTATGTATTTTTATATATGGCTATCAAATGTTGCCCAAGTTAAGCTTACACATATCCGTGCATATACGCACAATTGTATGAGTGTATATAAATATGTTTGTATATGTGTGTGTATGTCTCTCTGTGGGTGTGTTGTGTGTATCTGTGTATGATAATTTTGCAAATATATGTATGCATGTATATGGTTTAAGCATATTCCGTACTGTTTGTATACGTTTTACAAAATAGTTTTGTATGTATATAAATATATATATAAATATATATCTTTTTTCTTTAAGACGCGCTGTCCCTATCGTTACTTTTGCTTTTCCATTGTTCCCTCGATGTGTGTGTGCGTGTGTGTCGCGTGAGTGTGGGCCTGGGTTTGTTTTGGATGGGTTGTGTGTATGTATGCACATGTGTGTCTGTTTGTTTGTTTGTGTGTGCTTCAGCCACAATTTCCTTTAAAATACTATCGCATGTGTTTTATATACTTCGCTTTTAATACTTATGTTTTCCAATATATGCTCTCACACTTTCGCGCTGCCTCCCTCTCTCGCTCTCGCTCTCGTTCTCTCTCTTTCTCTCTGAGCTTTTCCTTTGATTTCATTTTAGCTGGAAGCGAGACACAAATGAGCTTTAAATTATATCGAATTTTAACTCATTTGGACACGCACCTGCTCCTCTTCTGCCATTTAGAAGCGCGCTCTGTTCATGTTCTTGATGCGTATGCCCACTTCCAAGACTTGGTCACCGCCGGCAGCGCCGCCGCCACTGCTGCTGTGGCTTGACGAGCTGCTGCTGCTGTTGCTGTTGCTGCCGCTGACACCGCCGCCGCCGCCGCCACCGCCGCTGGCAGAGCTGTTGCCATTGCTGCCATCGCTTAGCGGCGAATTGTTGTTGTTGTTGCTGTTGTTGTTGTTGTTGTTGCCCGAACTGGAACCGGAGACGACAACGGGCAACGCAACATTGGCCTCGGCATTGACACCGCTCACACTGGCACTTGCACTGGCCGCAGCTGCGCCCAGTCTACGCAACACTGTGGTGGTGGTTGTCGTTGTAGTTGTTGTCTCAGCAGCTGCACCACCATTGCTCCCACCGGCGGCGCTGCCCAATTTTAAGAGCTGCTGCTTATGGTGCCGATTATGATGGTTGTAGTTGATGGCGGTCAGATCATGACCGGCAGCGGCGCCACCGCCACTACCACCGACACCTCCACCGGCATTGTTCGCCGCATAGTCGTGCGGGCCGCCCACCGTGTGCCGCCGCTTGATTGAGCGATTCTGTTTGTTTTGTATCTGCCGCTTCTTGGTCAGATTCATGTCAGTCTTTTCGTCCTTGGTGAGCGCGGCAGCGGCATGTGCCCACGCCAACGACGACGATGTGGGGGAGCAACAGTTGGCGGCGGCAGCAGCAGCAGCAGCAGCAGCTGCCGAATTGCCCGAATTGCTGCTGCTCATGTGTCGCGTCGAGTAGTTGCGACAGTTGAAGCTGGCGCTGCGAAAGAGCCGATGATCGCGCCGCTTTTTATTGTAGCGCTCAAGAAAAAACGATGGCGAGGGTGTGGCCATAAGGAGCTTCTCCTTGGGGTCACTGGTGGTGGAGCCCTCCGAGTCATCTTCGGAGCCGGCGCCACCAATGCCCCGCTCGTAGGCCAGCGAGCTGCTGAACCGAAGATTCTTGCTTCCGTACGAGTTGCGTTGCATCGAGTTGGCCGTCTGCGAGCTGGGCGTACCAGCCAGCGGCGTTGAGGCGCTGCTTGAGCCGGTGCCAGCGGTGGGCGTGGCAGCGCCACTAGCCGGCGCCGTTGCGCTGCCCTGGTGTATGGGCACCGTGGCCGAGTGCTGCAGCTTGTGCGCCGCCTTGAGCAAACTGGCCGGCAGCGGAGCCACCGCTGGCTTCATCAGCAGCTGCAGCTGCTGCTGCTTGTCCTCTTTGGCCTCGCCAATGCTATTGGTGGCCGTGCAGGAACGGCTCAAAAGTAACGAGTGTGGTGCGTCCAGTGGGCAAAAGTTGTGGAACAGTCGCTCCGGCGACTCGTCCGCATAGGGAATGTTCTCGGAGTGCAAGTGCAACGGCTGACCAAGTGTGTGCCGGCGATTCTTGGGAAATTCGGGCGAACCGTTCTCATCGTTCGATTCGGAGCCGCTGCGCAAATTCCGCAGCTTGCTGTCCAGCGTGTCCGTGATGGTCGTCAGCGACATGGAGCCTGCCCATTGACAGTGAGTAATTAGTGGGTCTTACAGGGTATTTCAAGTGCTTGCACTTACCCGTATCGCTTAGACGGCTGCTCGAATCATCGTCGGTGAGAAGTATGGAAATGTCAACGCTGCTCCGCTGCTGTTCATGCTTGCCAACGCTGCCAGCTGAGTCGACGCTGGCCGAGTCCTTCTCATCCAGGCTGGCCTTGCGTGCCTGGGCGCTCCGCGAATTAGAGCTGGAGAGGAAGCCACCAGTGCCGCGCTTTTTGGTGCTCGCCGCGGCCGCCTTGGCTGTGCTCGACGAGGTGGATGTCGCAAAGGAAGATGAGCCGCCGCCAATCGCCGAGCTGAGCAGCTTGCTGGTGGTGCTAGTTTTGCTGCTATGCAGCGTCGAGCTGCTGCTGGTGCTGGTCGTGCTGCTCGCTGACACCTTGGCGTAGTCCAGCGACTGAAAGTGAACAGCGGGCAGGATTAGGCCAAAATCGCAAATGCTCTGCACAGACTTGCGTTGCATTCGTCTTTGGTTGGTGGTGCGGATGGTGGTTGTGGTATTGGTTGTATTGGTGGTGTTGTTGGTAGTTGTGGTGCAGTGGGAATTGTGCTGGGCTTGACTACTGCCGCTTACCAGTACACTCTCGCCGGAGTACGTGTCCGAGCTGACGGCGCTGCGTTTGCCATGGGTGCGTCTTCGCAGCTGCGGTATGAAACGCGAGGAGCGCGTCTCCCGTTCCGTGATGCGCTCAATCTTGGACAGGTTGTGCAGCAGCATGCTCGTTTGATCCTCCTGCGTCTGCTGCGGCTGGGCCGGACTCGGCGCGGCCGCGCCGCCGGTCAGGTCCGCCAGATCCGGCAGACTGCCGCCCTCGAAGAAGAACTCGTACTGTGGACAGATTAAAGATAGCGATTGATAAAAGCGTCAACAGAATTGTTGCTGTTGTGGACCCACCTGTGTGACGAGCAGCTCGACAATGCGACACTGATGCTTCATATCCTTGACGGCCGTTTCCAGCGTGTCGTTGGGTGTGCGTATAATAGATGGCCCAAAGATAATTGCCAGGTTCTTAGGTTCCATGCGATTCACCTCGCAGTTGTCGCTGACGCGGCAGAGATGCCTGATCAGATGCTTCATTGTCTCGTACGGATGACGCGGCAGGGACTCGACAATGTCCTTGAGCAGCACAATGCGCTCCATGCCCGTCTTTTTGTCCGCCTCAATGAAATTAATGTAAAAGCTGGCCGGCATCAGTGCATCCGGCAGGCTGCGTATAAATAGCTTAAGCAGGCTGCTAACGACATTGACATCCTCCCATCGGACATCGGTGGCGCAGCTCTCGAACGAAAACTCCTTCGTGTTGACCAGCTCGGACAGCTCCGAGATGGCCGCCTTGTTGCCGGGTATGCGATAAATACCGACCACGCCCAGACCCTTGGTCTCCACAATGTTGGTGCAGATCTCCACCAGATGCGGTACATAGGCGTTACTTTTGGACATGGGACATGCGCGCAAGGGCTGACCAATGGAGCCGCCTGTTCTGCTGGCACAGCCCGAGGGTGAGGCCAAATCTGCATGGGCAACCCCGCCGCCACTGCCACCTCCACGTCGAAATAGTAAATCTTTCCAGTTTTTTGACTTGGGCGAGCCCAGATCTTTTTCGGGCACATTCTTGTGGGAGGAGGGCTTGCGCAGCTTCATCACGGGCGATATCGCATCATTGGTGGTGGCAGCTGCAGCTATGGAAGCCACAGCGGAACCCTCCACCAAGGCACCGCCCGAGTGCGAGCTCACCGGCGAGCTATCTGCGCCAGCGACATCATCCAGGTAACTGGAGGTGGCAGCTGTTTTCTGTGGCTCCGCCAGCTGTTTGCCTGCAGGCTGCTCCTGGAAAGGAAGGAAGGGGGGTTAAAGGATTGGCCATTTTGGGCTTTCGAGCACCACTTACAACGTCATCATAGTTCAAGCTATCCTTCCACTGCAGCAGCCCAAAGAGGCGCTTCATCTCGTTGCTGCTCTTGGTCTTGAATAGAATTTCGGTGTAGGGACCGCACGATGGAGCCGATAATGCCGGCGTTTGCGGCTCGGCGGCGCTGCTGCTGCCCGACGAGGTCAGCTTATCGTGCGCATCATCCAAATTCAGCTCGTTGCCCAACGTAGCCAAATGAGCGACGCTGGCGCTCGGCTTCGACTGCATCCGTATCAAGTACTTCTTTTTGTCCAGCGACTCGTCAAAGAATTTAAAATTTCTAATATCAAGCTCTATCACCTGCCAAATGGAATATGTATTGAATGGGTATTTTTCTAGCAAGGAATAGACGCATCATCAGTATATTCTTGGATATTCAAGCAGTGCACAAGCAGGCTCCATGGTCGCATCAAAACTGGTTAACCTAAGCCATGTCTTCAGCCGCTGAGCATGCAAATAATATCTTAAATGTGGCTTGGATTCCAGGGATCGCTCAGCTTGCCACTACGCCATCGGAAATTCCTCAGAATCGGGGCAATAGAAACCGAAAGTTTTGCGCATAGGCAAGCCAAGATGTTAGCCCTCCCACAACCGCAACGCGTAAAAGCTATCAGCTATCTTTGGCATGCCGGCAATTGAATACCTTACGTTATAGTTGGTAAATTTCAATAAGTTTTATTGCCTCTAGCTGAAATTCCCGGAAATCGCAGCCAAAGCCAAGGTGGAAAACAATCCTTGACGAAATGCGCTGCGTTTCGACAGTCGCCATTTTCCGAAATTTCGTTGGAATGGCAAGTCGAAGCAGCAGCAACATTTTTGCTTCGCCTGTTATGTGCATTGCTTTCTGCGTCTCAGTGTACATTTTTATTGCCACCCCCCAAACGCACACACAGCGAAAAGCAAAGTTCAAGCCAGATAACTGTAGATAAATGTTGCCAATGCAGCTATTTTCTAGCTGACTTTGGCTATTTTGAGAGGTCTTAAATTTCTAGCTGCCCGCCTATCTGGCTATTTATTTATATTATTATTATTATTATTATTATTTCTTTTTCACATTTTTTTTTTTTTTTTATTATTCATAAAAGGCAAAAGCGGATGAGTAATTTGTTATTTTGTAGAGCAGTTATTTTAGCTATGTTTTTTAGCCAATTTTTATTTAGTTCACCTGTTTTCAGCTATTTTTAAGATCGGATTCAGCTACAGTTTGCAACAGTCGAAGCAGAAATATTCAAATACTGATCGCAAGCTCTATGATATGGATATAGTTTTATATAGCTTTATATGAGAAAAATTAAAAGATCAAAATACTTTGAAAAACAGAAAAATTTTCCATACGAAAACTTATTTATCGGGCGATTCTTCCTATAAAGTTAATTGATATAGTAGTCCGATATTGACAAGATTACGCTCATATGTATGACGCTTTGTATAAATTGTAAATGCAAAGTCTGCTCAAGATATCTAAAAAAAGGATAACCTTTTCATACAAGCAACTTATGTTGATCGATCGTTTTTATGGCAGCTACTATATGTTGAGCTAAGCTGCCGACTCTTTTTCCTGTTGGTAAACCGAGAGACTAATTTGCAAAGAAACAGATGGATCACTTTATGGGTCCAAGAAGTCGCTTTCTATAAGTTACACATTATAAAACCCTCTTTAGAGAGAGGAGGAATCGATTCTGCATATCTTCCAAAGCCTTGTTGCCAGCTAAAGAATCAAATATTTTATAATAAATAAGGACATATAAAAAAAATGTTCCCCTAAGATGTCAGGCAGTCCCACAAATGTTCTGTTTTCCATATAAAAGAGATACCTTTTGTTTTTGGGGACTAAAGACAACAAGCTCTTAAATTATATTGGTCATTGTATTAATTGCTTCTTGAAAGGGCGGCACTTACATTATGCTCCGACTTGGCATGGCGTCCAGAGTAGATGCGTAGGATATCTCCTTTGATTTCCAATTTAACCTGACGCCACGAACGGTACTCGGACATGCGCTATGGAATAGAATTGTGTGGTCCACTTAGTTAAGGTCCACTTAATTGGGCAATTGGCTGCTTACCTTGCCATTGATGCACGAGGATTTGATCTCAATCTCCGTCTCAAAGGCCTCCAGCTCGTTGGGCACATACTTGCCATTCAGCTCCGCGTCAATGTGGATGCTAGGTGCAAATGGTGTCCGTTACAATAAGATGTAATTAATTGGCTTGTTTATTATTCACCTGCTGCGCATATCGCTGTTGATGGAGGCACGCCGGTTGCCATGATGTGCGGACAAGCGTACATCCTCGAGGCCGTTGGGCGTTTCGATAAACTCATGACCACCGCCGGTGCCAGCGATTACATCGTACGTGGGGTCTGGATGCTCCTCCACCAGTGCTTTGGTCTTGTGCGGTTCGACAACGGCCGCCGCAGCAGCAGCAGCGGCTGCGGCCGCAACGACAGCAGCTGCGGCAGTTGTACTGGCTGCAGCTCCATCCGCCGGCGGCTCTGCATGATACTCCGTCTCATTGTTGGTGGCACGCAAGTACGAGATGCGTCGCACCGGCTTACCCTCGTCAAAGGAGCTCGAGGAAAGCGGCTTATAGCGACGCACCACGTTGCCCGGCGCGGAAGCGGCTTCCACAATGGCAGCGGCTGTAAAAAGTGAATTCGATTTTTAAAAATAGTCACAAGAGAATCTAAAGCACACGAAAAGGTACACTAATTAAGTAACTCATAAGTGTATACTTTGCATTATTTGGAAAATATAAGTAAGTAAGTGCTTTACGAGTTGCCCTGAACTGAGTGCCAACTATTCCAGATTCCTTCCACACACCTTTTTTAATACACAATAACACACACATACACACGGAGGAGTGCGCGCCGAAAGCTGCTCACTTTGCTGCATGAGAATTGCACTATTGATTAACTTTCGATTTCACAGTCCGATCCTTTATTCGGGGCACAAAAATCTTTGTTTTCAAATATTGAGGAATGCGGCGAGCGATCCAAAAAGCGAAATATTTGTTATCTTTATATACTACACAAGTGACCATATACCAAGTTTGCTGCATTTAGCTCTTATAATCCTCGAGCTAAGCTCCGAATCCTTGCTTCAAAATCGATATTTATCGATATTATAAAAATGGAAAGTGAATTCCAAAAAAAAATAATGTACACATGTATGCAAATATAACCTTCTTCTGCGCATGGTAAAGAAGAATATATATTTCAAACTTCAAGCCTTTAGACGGACCTGGTTAGATCGATTCACTTTATTAGCTCTTGCCACTCCTCCTGACTGTTGCATGCAGGCACACAAAAAGATTTTACCGATGCACATTTCCAATGGAGCCAGCTCCGAAATTTGTCTGCGAATAAGAACTACCCTAGAAATGTTCGAATGTTCAAGCGACTCACTCACACGTTATTCAATTATATATTAATTGCAGCTATCACTTTAAGTTGGGAAAGATCTGTTAAAATCTGCGATTTACACTGCACACTGATCACATCACTCAGCATCAACAAGAGCCAGTTCATACTTGATATGGACACACTTACCGCTACTCTCAGCAATGTCCGCCAAAGTGGCCACCGTGTGCGAGGAACTGGTGGCCTGCTGGTGCTCCGGAACGTTGCTGAATTCTGAAATTAGCCATAGAAATGTTTGTTTTATTCAGGGTTAGGTGATTTAAGCGAGTGTTGCGTTGGGATTGGGAGGATACTTACTGGTAGGCACCGACTCAAATGTTGCATTTGCAAGTGTTGCTTTATGTAACTCCATCCGGCTGGTTGACTGTCCGTCTACTGTGCTGCTACTGCTGGTGGCGGTGTTGCTCTGTTGATACTTGGATTGCATCTGATGCAACGGATGCTGCTGAAGTGATTCGTAAAGAACGCTCTGCTTCTTTGCCAACGCAACCGACGCGCTGCTCGATTCGGAGGCGGCGCTTGTATTGATTGACAACGGCTTGAACGGATCAAAACCCTTGGACATGTGAGAGACAAGTTTGCTTTCAAATCTATTAGAGAGAATAAGAGGGATTAACAAAACAATCTGAGCCAATTAGGTCATGCGGGTTGGATCCACTTACACCTTGTTGGTAACACCCGTCTCCTGCAGTGTCTCAAAATAGTCTAGCTCCTTCGCGTACTTGCCATTATTGCTGCCCACGCTGACAGCCACCTGTCGCTGCTGCGGCGGCATTGCACCTATGGAACGTGGCGCCAGCTTGCTGCTCGCGTAGCTGTTGTACATGTCGTAGCCAAGTACAACCTGCTGCTGCTGCTGCTGCTGGTGGAGGTGGTGGTGGTGGTGGTGCAGGTGTTGTTGTTGCTGTTGCTGCTGCTGCTGCTGCTGCTGCGGCTGCTGCTGCTGCGGCTGCTGCTGTTGCTGCTGTTGCTGTTTGTGCAGCACTTGGTGGCGCACGCGCTGTGCAACAGCTCCGCCTCCTGGTGGCGTGTGCGATGGGAAAAAGTGCTGCGCCGGTTGTTGCTGCTGCTGCTTCTGTGGCGATGACTGCGATGCGTTGCCGTTGGATGCGGAGGCGGATAGCACACCGGAGGGTAGCGGCGATTTGAGGAACTCCTCCTTCTGCTTGATGGACTCGCGCAGTCGTATCATTAGGTCGCTGTTCTCACCGCCGACGACGACGCCGACACCGCCGCCGCTGCCGCTGCCGCCGACGCCACTTGCATTCGCCGCGTACAATGCTTGGCTTATGGCCCCTACCGATTTGGTTTGGCGGCCGGTGGGCGTGGTTGGTTGTGTTGTGCTTGCTAATACTGTTAGATTTGGCGGTTGATTGGCACTGCAAACAGAAAAGAACAACAAATCAATTACAATTATTATTATTATAGAGGCACAAACACTAAAGACAAAGACAACTACATTGTTGGCCACATACGAAATCTGATCCTTAGGGGCTGCAACCAGCTTAGGGGCTGCAGTCGGCTAAGGGGCTGCAGTCGGCTAAGGGGCTGCAGTCAGCTAACATTGCGTAGGCGTTTAATTAGCCCCACTTCAAAGAATCCATTACTAGTGCATTATATTTATAGATTTAATCACCCCCATCCGATTTATGTCATAGTTTTTTTTTCCGGGAAATACTTAAATCGCTTAAGAAATATAAAAAGACGCCAGCTGCTTCATTCAGCTCTCTATAATCTATAATCTAAATATCTTTGTCAATTCTGTTCATATTCCTAACCTAAAAAAAACATATTGATAGCAATCACAATCACTCAATAAACATACATCGATGCCTTTACATATAAAACTTTTTCTTTAGAGCTAGGAAGATGAGATGTATGTAAATGCACACAAAGACATGGTTTATGGCAAATCCTACCCGCTAGTGTGAAAAATTAGTGGAAAATGGTTGAATGCAACTTTTTTGCTAAACATACGATCGGTCTCAAACCAATTTTTAAAGAGCTGTTTGAAGCTTCATTCCCGATTGAAGCACTTTCTATGTCAGCCGATCGATTTTAAGCTCATGTTAAAATACATATGTAAGATATAATTTGAGACGTGAAGTTCAAGGTGGAACGGGTGGAAATAAAATATGCCGAGGGCGGAAAATAGCTGAACAAGCCTAGAGATTAAAACAACAAGCTACCTTAATTTTGTTACTAGCTTCTTCTATAGTCTGTTCACGTAGGTAATATAACATTTGGCAGTTGTATCATTAGAGGTTTACATTCAGTTTTCTTGATTTATTACATCAATTGGCATACACATCTGGATTCTAAGGGCCAAGTTACCTGAAGATATTGAAATATAGCAACTCAATATGTATACATGTGTGAGTGTGTGTGTGCGTGCGTAAGGTAATAACACCTGATGGCCATACGAAATATAGTCGCTGGAGCTGAGGGATTTTGGCGCGTGCCGTTAGCGTTAAAGTCGACGTCAAAGGTAACGCGAACGTCAATGTTTGTTTCTGCTGCGGCATGTGGACTGGATCCGCTTGGACGTCGTCAGCTGTTTGGATACGCTGGTCACGACAAAGACGACGACGACATCGCCGTTGCCAAATACGAGTAAGCTGCGCAATTTGCGTAAACAGCGAGGGCGACACGCCCCATTCTGCCCCACTACACAGCCCGCAAGCCCCGCCGCCACCCAGCCACTGATTGCGATGACTGTTTGGATTGTGAATGTGTTATTTATTGTTGTTTGCTTATTAACGAATGTATTTGTTTAAGAATTTTGTGCTGCCGTGCGCGAGCTTTCAGACTGCAACGGATCAGATAGAGATATTTCAGTCGTCGCCTCGGAACACAGGTGCGCTTGGCCATGTCCAATAATAGTAACAGCTTTAGCAGCAGCAGTAGCAACAACAACTTAGGGTGCTCTAGTCGGGTGTGCCCGACGAGTAGATACCCTGAACACACAAAAACCACACACAGGCACACGCAAGGGCTGTGCTTCTTTTCCCCTTAGGCCATGCTCCACAAATGCGTCCCTGATTAACTCCGTATTTCACAGTCCGATCCTAATGAGTGTACATATACCAAAGACTCCACCTTTAAAAAACCGAAGAGTGATCCAAAAAGTGAAATACTTTTAATTTGTATATACCATGAGAGAACCCACATACCGAGTTTGGTGTAAAAAGCTCTTCAAATTTTCGAGATATGCTCAAAGAAACATGCTTCAAATTTGATTCTTTTGGATAAGCGCGAGGAGATATCGAAGAAATAATAGCTATAGGAGCCTCTAGTAGCCTCTCTTGTAGTTTCCTTGACAACTCAGCTCGTCGTCCTGATCAAGTAATTATTTGCTTTCAGGGTCAAAGTTGCCTGCTTCTGCCTGTCACATGCATGTGCACATAATCGCTCACTCTCAATAGTTTCAGGAAATAACAACAACAACAAAAACAACAACAACAACAACAACAGGGCAAGAGTTGTCTGCAAAATGCGAACTGAAAACTTTCAGCTGCCACTGGGGCCGACAAGCGGGTTGAGAACGGAGCATAGAACATTCTGTTCGTAGGTTTGGGGCAGCACAAGCGTTAATGCATGACAAGATACAAACTCGACGCCCGTTTTAACAATGCAGCCCGCCCGGCAGTGGCAGGCAGGCAGCCGGGCAACCGGGCAGCCGGGCGGACAGCTTCTGGGCTGTCAGGTAGTCTAATGGCCATGACCGTGACATGACCAACTGCACACGTGGCACTGCTGGGGCCAAATGCAATTGTAGTCTTGCGCGTGTGGGCATGTGTCTCGCTCTCTCCCTCTGTGTGTGAGTGTGTCCCATTTGCAGTTGCAACCACAGCACCCTGAACGCACTCAACACTTGATTGAATTAGCTGGAAGCAGCAGCAGCAGAAGCATCGCTGCTGTCGAAGCCTTTAAAATAACTCAATTTGTTGTGACAGGATGCGCAGGATAACCGAGCACTCCCTGGCTGCCCGCTGGCAATAACAACAATAACAACAACAACAACGACGACGACGACGATAACAACAGCAACAAAGGAGCTGATGCGAGAGTGGCCAGCGATACCAATTGATTTAGCGCACTTGATGCAAACATTTTGCCATCGAACTTTTCCTGAAATAGTAGCTGTAACAGCTCTTTCCCAGCTCCTGACCTTGGCCATCGGTGAAAACTTCAGAAAATTCAATTAATACCTTCCCGCCGGCCGCCGCAAAGGCCAACAGTACAGGTTTACTGCCGTTAAGTGCCTTTTAATGAAAAGTTCCTGGTTGAGCAGAAATTGGTGTGAGTATAAATTGATTTATGGCCGCCGGACGTCGGCAGGAATTAGATACTTTCGCTATGCAAACGTTGCAGAGGGTTTGCATAGCTTCTCCGAGCTTAAAGTTAAATAAAAACACTTTCAGATACTCGCAGAATCGGTGTCAATAACAAGAAACTACACTTAAGCTGAATTGGTTGAGCTAACAAGCCGGATAGAGGGCACAAGGTTGCCCATTTACAGAGGAGCTTCTAATTAAACGTTATACTATTTTTATACCAACAAAAAATACCAAACAGCAGTAATATTTATCGTAATAAATGTTATTTTTGGAATATCTGAATAATGCTCCTAATGTTTCAAACTCAAAAACTAAATGTATCTATTTACATATATCGAATGTGACACAGTTATCTCTTCAAACAAAATTCAAAACCAATTCCAGTTGTCAGTAACCCAGAAATATATATAAAATAGTCTGTCCGACCGACTGACTGATTATATAAATATAATATAGTATTGTGCTCCCTATAAAGCAACCGGGGAGTGTGGGCTTTTCATGTCCTTTTTTAGACTTGAAAAAATGTTATAAATTCATGCAATATAAAAATAATATACATAATTATATCAAATTAATGCGCTTAATCATATTTAAAGGGAATGTGTCAAGGGTGCTTTATACTTAAACGAGACTAATCGTACTAAGGAAAGCAGGATGCCGGAGATTAAATGCCCTGGCAGACACTTAGCATACGATATTTATTTACAAAAACTCAAATTCCAGGCAATACTGTGTTTATAGTAGCTATATTATATGGCTCCAAAATAAGAATAAAAGTGAAATCATAGTTTGACAATTTTATTAGTTTATCATGAAAAAGCAAAAAAAAAAATTGCCTATAAAAACTTTATCTTGGACTGATTGTTCCTACAGGAGCAATAAAAGGAGAGAAGCAATATATATTAGTATAAATATGCTAAGTGTATATTTTCAAAGAGTGTAAATTGCGCCCAATAAATCTACTTTCTACATAAATATTTCATACATCCTTAAGATAAAAGTGAAATATTGAAATTGGCCTTTATATAATTCCAAGTATATACTACATATGAGCAAATCGTATCAGCACGAAAAACCAAAATATTGCGACTAAAACACGCCAAAGATGAAAGGTTTATTTCCGACCGATTGTTTCCCTGCCGAGTCATATGAAATATTAAACCGATGTGATATGGTTTTGCAGAGATGTTAGTAGAATAGTTAAGATCGTCATTGCTGAGTGTTTTTAAGATACTTTAACTGATTACTTGAACGGATTTATGGCTAACGGACGTCTTCAGGAATAAGATACTTTCGCTTTGCAAAAGGGATTTGCATAGCTTTTCCGAGCTAAGTTGCTTCAAGATGTTTTAAAAACAGCAAAATTTTTCATACTAAAACTAATGATCGATTATTTCTGTAAGACCCTTATGATAATGTTATCTGATTTTGATGAGATTTTGCCTATATGTGAGGACCAAGCTACAACACTAGAGCTTAGTCTGGTCAAGTTTGATACAACTTAATCTCTGAACAATCATTCGACTGGCAACTAAAATTATAGTAGGCCGAGTTCGTTTGCATTCACAGATCGAGTATATGTACATACATATACATATGTTTATAGTTAATGTGATCCTTCTGCGCGTTGCACTTGTCATGATAAAATTCGAATACCCTCTACAAGGCTGCAATTGATCATGGAAGATGACAAGTTGCTGAATGTGAGTTGAAATCAGTTTCCCTGACCATGAAAATGAGCAAGAGCAAGAGAGAAGGTTGATTGCAAGTACATATGCAAACGCTGCTCCGTTTCAAGCTATGTACTTAGTACATAGAAGTAGATATGGCATAGTCTAGTATACATATATGTACTAGTATCTAATATCTAAGTATTGTTATCTTTGCATAAGCTTCGTGTACAAGGGTACAAAAATAAATACATAGATCCATTAACACAAGTGATTCGACACGCCGCGCGAATCGCGACTCTCTATTGTGCTGATTTCTTGCAGCTGTTGTTGTTGTTGTTGTGGCTGTTGCTGCTGCTTATCAGTAAAGAGTCAGCCACAGAAATGAGCTGTATCTATCAGGCATAGATATATACATACATGCATGCACACATTACAAAACTGTGTATGTGTGAGTGTGTGTGTGTGTGTGTGGAATTTCGCGCTTTATTGTCTGCTTGTTGTGTATGCACTAACTCTTCATTGTTGTTGTTGTTGTTGTGGTCGACTATTGTCTGATTTGCGTATTGCCAACTCTTTTGCCTTTTTGCAATTAACAAGTCATAAATAAAAATGTTGACATATTTGATAAGCCACAAAACTACAGGCCGAAACCTGTCAACAAAAACAGTTCACAGTATGGCCCGCCCCCAAATGGTTAACAGTGCCTAACCACCCGTTCCTCCCCGACGTCCCGACGCCCCCTTTCCAATATATGCCGTTCTTTCGCACTCTCTCTTGCGCCCACTCTCTCGTCTCTTCCCCCCCTCACACTACCTTTGCTCGGCGCAATTCGCATTGCATTTATTGTTGGTTTTTTTTGGTATCGATTTCGCCGCTGGTGGCGACGGCGCCCAGCGGTGTCGATAGCGACAATGGCGACACCCATTGGCGTCGACTTCGACGTCGACGACGGCAGCGCTGCCGTTCGTGTCATTGTTTGGGCAACACATACGCAACGGAAACGAAATACAAAACGCAAAATCGCATTCAAAAGAAATGAAAAAAAAAAGAAACGAAAAAAACAATTTTGAAAAAAACAAACAAACAAATAACTGCCAAGAAATTGAGACAAGCGCGCATTGTTGTTTCTTTTGCTGCTGTTGTTGTTGGAAAAATCTTAGTACAACATTTGCTCATGAAAAGCTGTTGCTTTGAGTCGTTGTTTTTGTTGCTGTTGTGCTTAGCTCAAAATTGATTGAAAACTTCTGAACTTTATGATCCAATAAATACATCGATTTCAAGGCCTCTGCAATTATTAAAAAAAAAAAAACAAAAACTTTCCAAGTGACCCCACCCACCCTCACAAGCAAGCACAAGCTTCATTGCCATATTTGTGGGTTATATCGACGACTCATTTCATGTTATCAACAAAAGCAATTACAATTCGTACCCGATGATATCGATCAGTAAGTTTCGAATTCGAATTCGAAACATAAATTTAAATGCAATACACTCGCGTACACACACACACACACGCACACGGACACACTTCGAAACTCACTGGGCTCAAGCTTTATTATATTTGTTGTGATGCGAAATCTACGCGCTCCACTCACTCGCCATCGGCAACTAAACTAAAATACAACCCAAAGTCCATGCGACTAAACTGAAATATATAAAAAAAAAAAAAAATAAAAAAAAAATTCACTTTGTATGCATGTATGAAATTTATATTAAGCTCGCGACAGCAGCAGCAGCGGCAGCAGCAGCAGCAGCGGCAACGAGACAGGCTGGGCTAATTGAAAAGAGCCCCCAGCTATTGAGTGGGCAACCGTCGAACAACCTACCGTCAAGCCACCGACGACCCATCGACCCACCCAACCACCGAACGACCACAGAACTGAACGCTCTTTCTTTTATTTTATAAGCAATTGTGCCACGCGCATAGCGCAAAAATATTTCATTGTACACTCAACAACAACACACACTGTAAATGGATGCGAAGCAATGGGAGACGATGGTTATGGAATACACACATACATATACATATACATATACATATACATATACATATACATATACATATACATATACATATACATATACATATACATATACATATACATATACATATACATATACATATGCATATACATATACATATACATATACATATACATATACATATACATATACATATACATATACATATACATATACATATACATATACATATACATATACATATACATATACATATACATATACATATACATATACATATACATATACATATACATATGCATATACATATACATATACATATACATATACATATACATATACATATGCATATGGATGCGAAGCAATGGGAGACGATGGTTATGGAATACACACATACATATACATATACATATACATATACATATACATATACATATACATATACATATACATATACATATACATATACATATACATATACATATACATATACATATACATATACATATACATATACATATACATATACATATACATATACATATACATATACATATACATATACATATACATATACATATACATATACATATACATATACATATACATATACATATACATATACATATACATATACATAAACATTTACATATACATATACATATATATATATTTTCCCCAATACAAGTAGTTGGATTTGCTGTATACGCAACACGAAACTAGCTGATTCGATTGTGAACTAAATCAAAGTGCGCAACAGGAGCTGGGTTATTTGAGCAGGGGGATGACATAGTTGGGGTTCGGTCGAACACGCGTCGATATCGCCCCATAACACCCATCTGGCTGACCAGATATTCGCATGCCACACTCCCCGACATTCGCGGGAACGCAACTCCACTGTTTGGGTGTCAGTGTCAGTGTCAGCGAATGTCCGTTCACAACATTGAATGTGCACAGTGTCCAAAAAGCAATCGATTTGGCTGAATTCAAGGGCAAGACTGTGCTTGGGGATGACATTATAGAAAAAGAATTTAAGAATGACATATCAAAAAATTAACGAAAATTGGGATTGCAGCTTGTAATCTCCGATTTATGCCAGAAAGTTTTAGCAGATCTTTTTTTAGATATTAGATATTTATTTAGATTTATGCCAGAAAGATTCTGTTCTTTAATAATTAGCTATAAGAAAATTGGATTAACAATTGGCATATACAAAGATAAACGAATTTTAAGGATTATACTTTAAAGACTGTGATTTATGCTAGAAACTTGTATAAGTTCCTGTTGTTAGATAAATGAAATGAAAAGATAATATTTCATCTTATTAAGTCTCAAATTTCTTCCAAAAACTTTTATAGAAGAAGTATCTAACTTTAATTTGTGCGTCGAAATTAAAAAGGGATATCCAATACATACTTCAGAAACAAGGCACTTTTCTATGATATAATATAGCACTGATAATAACATGTTGTACCACTGTTCCTGCATTATGTGTGGGCGGGTGTTGTTTGTCTTCTATTTTCACCATCAAGGTCGCAATCATCTATCAATCATGTTAGTCAAATTCGAATGCACAAAAAATGAAAGGTCAGTCAGTATTAAGTCCAGTCCTGTATTAAGGCACCAAACCGATTCTGAATCGAGCCGATTTAAAGCCGATGCTTAAAATATTTATTTAACATGAAATTTGAAATTTAACACGAAATTTGATGAAACAAAGCTTAAGGTTCGCAGATTTCGCAGAAAACCAGAACCGAACCTGAAGGCCTCCTTCGTTTGATACGTGAACCGAACTATAGAAAACGTTTGAACTACACGTATATCTATATATTTTATCTATATCATTCTATCTTTTGTACAATACATATTTATCTTTAGGTACATCTGCGCCTACTAGTGTATCTGTATCTATGTAGAAGATGACTCCGGACTTGGGATCAGCATGAGAGCCAACACATAATACAATAACAGGCCTTGCATTGGCTCAAGTAGCCAATATAATAATTTATATATAAGTTGTATATATATATTATGTTCAGCTTCATTCCCATGGTGACCATTATCTCAAGCCCTCAGACTTGGATAAGTCTCAATCTGAAGCTCATCTTCAGTTGCCATCTAGTACACATCTCAATCTCAATTTCAATCTCTGTCGCAATAGGTGGGGCGATTCGCCAGCTTTGAGTGCTCAGCTGTGGGCGTGGCCAGTTGCACAACACACACGGGCGGGATCCCTGCGGACATGCGAGGAGGCGTCCAGCTCATGGTTGCACAGGGCGGGCGAATGAATTGAATTGTCATTCAATGCGGTTGAATTTCATTTTTATTTTTATTTTTATATTTTGCGCCTGTGTGTGCATGTGTCCGACTGTGTGTCTGTTCAATTAAATTTGTCTTAATCATATAACAATGGCGCGCTAACAAATATTCGTATACGTTTGCTTTTGTTGTTGTATAATTTACACTCCGCTTGTGCACTCCCACACCTATATACACATATATATACACACACACATATGTATCACATACAGCACATCGTCACAGTACATTCCGACCCGTCGTAAGCTACGGACTGATGGGAACACGGAATTTATTCGGCCGGAATGAGTTCCTCCTGTCGACGTAAAGAGCTTTAGCGATTCTTTTTCTGAGTTTGCACAAACAACGTACGACCTTCAGCCCATTGGCAAGGTGTTTCCTGGATGGAATTCTTTCCGAATGGCCTCCAAGTACATTCGAGAATCTGACCTGGAACCAATTGCTTGGAACTGACGAAAGCCCAGCAAACAGACGGAGCAACCAGCAGATGTGCTGAGCTGTTCTAAATAGTTTCAAGAAGGAATTTTTAATTGTCTGGCTCTTTAAGGTCTGGTGACGCATTCATGTACCAAGCCATTTTCATGACTTCCGGCGGAATAGTGAAATAGCCCAGGCTAGGAAAAACTGGCTTCGAATCAGACGCGTCCACCAAAGGCCATAGATATAACGTACGATGAAAAGATGGTACCCAAATTCCAAGTTAAACATCTTATTCGGGTCGTTGCGATGAACGGGCAGACCGACAGACATGGTCCAGATTGTATTTTGCCTTTTAAATGTGCCCCATATACATACATACATAGAAAGTCAATTGAAGAAGTAAGTAAACATTCGAAATACATATGTATTTAAGTGGGTGGTGCCTCAACTTATCTACGCGAAAGTTTTTCGCAACAAGTTGCCAGCACGTAATTAGAAACGATAACCGGTAAAAATATTATAAATAGAAAAACAAAAACGAAACGAGCAAAAAAAAAATAATCCAAATTCGACACGGCACCCGTAACACGTGCCATACAGTGAACATGGAATCATCCACTCAGCTGAAACTTCAGATGATATTCAAGAGCTCTCGACGCGAACATTTCTTCATTTATGAGCTTGGTATGCAGCTCACGGCTAAAATGAGCAATGCAAAACAAATGGACAAATAGACAAATAGAGACGACAATTGCCATTGCCAAATCTATACCTGAATATTAATCGATAGCCAAAAGTAAGAATTTTTCAATTCATGCAATTTGCTTAACTTATCGATAAATGCACTTCAGTCGTTTGTTTAACATAATTCAAGGCAATCAATATATTACAAAAGCACTTATAAAATATATTTTATATAAGAACAAGAGTGCTTCGGGGGTAATTCCGACTGGGAGATACGCACGCCCCAAGGTCGGCTCTTACGCAGCGACTGCGCGTCTTCTTCCCTTGGCTTCACGCTATGGGAAATGCGTTTGTGATTAACTTCTGTGTTTATATTCCGATCTAAATGGAATTTTCAATTGTGTATATACCATATCACACGGCTTTAACTTTAAAATCAAAAATGTTTAAGAAGAATGGGTAGATGTACGAAATAAGTGAGTATTTTCTATCTGCATCTGCTCTACAAGAACCTACATATCAATTTTGGTGTATATATCTCTTAAAGTTCTTGTTTTCATTTAAACTTCTTTAACAAAAAACTTGTAAAACCTATTAATTAAATGCTCATATGTCAGCAAAGAGGCACAATAGTCAAACAAACTTTAAAAAAAAACTCTAAGTTGGATTCTGGATGCTTCAAAAAAAGCTCTATTTTCAAACAATTGCACCTTAAACATATTCCAAAAGTTATCAGATTCCATGGCATCTTCAACGAACTTCAGCCGGCTCAACATACTCGTGTTGTTGTGTTATGCAAATGACCTACAACGAACTGTGGCCGATATATGAATCAGTAATTTTGTTTTGCTACTTTCTAAAAAAAACTATTTATTACTTTTTACAGTTCAATTGCAGTGTCTACGTTGGCGCACAAATTTCGCATTCCAGCGTTTGGGTCATATCTCTAGAGGATTGTCTGCCCTATGCATAAACATACGCGCACACACACACACACACACACCCGCACACACACAAAGAGTGAAAACAGGAAGCTCGGCCAGTGGCTAATGGCCAATGGCATTTTTATGCATGTGTTTATTTTTGTTGAAATGCATTCGTCGTCATTGCTAAATCAAGACACAGTCAAAAAGTCCACACACAAAATATGATGATAAAAAAATGTATACATATGACACGAACCAAGCGGCGCGATCAATCGATTTCGATGCTTTATCCCGTCGAGGCAACCATTAAGATCGCCAAATGCGCTGTAAGAAACAAGTAAGAGAGCAATAGTCGAGAGTACCCAACTAGAGGATAAACTGAACCCAGCGTCGTTCCTAAAGCAACCGCAGTTTATGCAGCGACTGTGCTTCTTCTTCCCTTCTTCCCAGACAATGTATGGGAAATGCATTCTTGATTAACTTGGGTGTTTGTTGTCCCATCTTTGTGAAATTTTCAGGATATGAATTTAACATCATAATGTGTTTACATACTTAAGAACAACCTGTATCTTTAACAATACTTTTTTGGATATTAATCTGGATTTAGATGTAAAGGAGTCTATATACCCATTTTGGTGTCTCGAGACCAGTTATCGACGACCTACATTCAAAATATCAAGTCTCTTGCTCTGACAGTCAGACTGACATGGCTACATTGACCCGACTGTTTATACTGAACAAAAATATATATACATATCTATACATTAGCAGGTCTAAATGTCGCCTCCCCAATCAAATCTTAAAACCTAATGTAACGAAACAAAAAACAGATTTCAATAATCGAAACGTATATTAGAAACATTTTTGTGAGGCTGTCTCCTATAGAATATCAATATGAATCGACCAGTTAAAAGAAGACTTGTGAATATAAATGAGGTATCGATATGGCCCCAAAACAATGCGTAGACAAAAAATTACAAAAAGGATTGATGATTGACATCGAGTTGAATAAACGAGTACTGTATGTCAAAGTGAACCGAATTATGGAAGCCGAAAGTGTTAACTAAGATATAAAACATGTATCGAATAGTTAATTGATAGATAAAGACAGATTATATTGCTAATTAAAACATCAATATGTAGATATTTGCAATGCGTTCTGCTAAAATGATTATGGTGAATAAGTATGAGTTCATAAATACATTTCATTCAACGCAACAATGACCAAAAAATGCTTTGGCAATACAAATGGGGGAAAAATTAAAATTATGATGAAATCACCATTGTAGAACGGAGAACGACGCGACGGACACATTTATCTGCTGTATGTGGTGTTCTACAATTTAATAGGCTGTCGTTGGTCCAAGCATGGACTACTCATCATCATCATCATCATCATCATTATGCGCCTACATAGATGTATGCATATGTATCGTACAAATTAATGACAGTGAAAAGTCTGGCGAAAAATGCGCAAAACATATATTATGCCAAATGCGAACAACTTTGCGCTGGACATTTGCTATGAAGCCCCAGCCTCAGCCCCAGCCAAAGTCCATGTCGCAGAGAAAGATGAGTAAGTTGGGGCGGGGGACAGACAGAGCAAACACCCTGTTCACAAAGTTCACTTTACAATTGTTTTTAATTATTGTTGTCGCCAATGTGGAGCTTAGTTAATGCTATTTAGAGCATGCACTTAATTTATAGTTATACGAAATTTATAACATTTCCCGAGTTACATGTTATTCGATTACGAATCGCATCTTTTTGTCTGGCATTGAATTTTGTTTGTGCTTTCAAATTGTATTTGTTTGTGTCTTGAATGAAAGTGAAATAATGTACAATTTGCATATGCATAAGATACACACACACACACACACGTACTTATTGGAAGGAGGGTAGCTAAAGGTAGGTAGTCTCTTGATGTCACCATAAATCAAATGCCACACAGTGTGATCAAGTTCATTGGAATCGCGACGGCGCCAAAGGCTGTTGGCCAGTAAACTGTCAATTTGTTTCGCTGTTTGCGAGCTTATGTATGTGCGTGTGTGTGGGTATGTGTGTGTGGGTATGTGTGTGTGTGTGTAAGTGCGAATTAATATTTATGAAACATCCGACATATGTACGTCTATTAGCATTGGCAGTGGTACACAACAGCGTAAATACCTGGTTTGCAAATTTCTTTTTCGACTGCTGCTTCAAAAAATTAGCTAAAACCAATAATAAAATTAGCTAAAAATAGCTGAATTAGCTTTATGAGCAAATTGGCAAGAGACAACGTTTACTTGCGATTGAGATGCCAAAAAATAGCCACATTTGCTTAAAATTCCAACTGTTTCCGGCTGACGACAACTAAAAATATATACATTTAGTTTGAGATGCCAAAAAAATAGCCAAGTTTGCGTAGAAATTCAACTGTTTTCGGCTGACGAGCTATGCAACTGGCCAAATTCAGCTAGAAAATAGCTGAAGCTATGATAAAATTAATCGCGTTAAGCATCGTTTCGTACTTTCATTACATAACTAATGTTTATTACCCGCACTTGCGCGGACTAATGTCCTTGCTTCAAATTTAAAAGAGCACTTTCCACTTATTTTCCACTCATGAGAAATTTTAAAGTTTCCGCATCTTAAATGAATTGTCACCAAGAATTTTGAACATAGTGTTGCAGCTAGCTCTTACGTTAAATAATTATTCAGTCAATAAGTGCAAGAAAATTTTTTTTTAATATAAAGAATAATGGTTTATCATTATTATACCGCATCTATTTTATATACTTTTTTCTATTCGTTAGGTTCCGACAAAATTCATAATTTTCTGATCATCTCATTTGTCTGCAATGTCAAGTCATTTTCGTAATATATGAATGAATATGTTTGATAATGATTTTTTGTTGTTGACTTTTTGTAGATATACGAGTACTGTAGCTGGCTTTTCTGTCAATTTGTTTATTTTCGATTTCCCTACTATGTTAATTTATGAATAGCCTTAACTGTTTTCTTAGAGCCCTACGATTTTTTAGTTCGAATAGTACCGATCCACAAACAACAAAAACATATTCAGCTGGCAAAAGTAAATCTATAAAAGTTGAACCAAAATTTTCAATATTTAACAAAATTTTTACGTTACATTAGAGCCAGGTACAAGATACGCCGAACTCAAATTAGTTCTTTTGCATAAACAAATTGTTGCATTCGCTTTCTTCAGCAAATTCCTATAGATAATATGACCAAGTCGTGGATTAAGGTGCGCAACTGTGTGGTGGCTTTATACAATGATCGCTTTTGCTGGAGCTTTTTCAAGAGCTATTGCCTCTTTCTGCTTGCGGTGCGGTGCGCGAAGAATATACGGGCCTAATATAGACAGACATTTTGGGCATTCGGTTGGATTTGCCCCACTGTGCCATTTGGCAACGGTCGCTGGCCTGTCTAATTGCACTAAACACTGTCATTTTTGCTGCGCTTAGCGAAAGAGAAACGCCAGTGGGCAGAGAGCAGAGTCGTCACAACCTGCCGACTGGCGTCTGATAAGATTAACAGCCGTTTCTGTCGCTTCTCGTCCACCCAATCCCCGCTGGCAACCACATCCCGACTTTTTTTGGCTTTGGCAACAACACACACAGAGACGAACACGGACACGGACACGGGCACACACACACACAGACACAGACACAGACGCACAAACACATGACGTCAATGGCCCAGGTGAGTTGAAATAGTTTACACTTACCGCATGAAGCTGCTCGACAGCAGCTGCTGATGATGATGTTGCTGGTAAAGATGCTGCTGCTGCTGATGCTGACGCAGGCCATGGGCCATGTCACCGAAGTCGATGCTACTGCTGCCGCCTGTGAGCGCCGGATGGCGTTGCGGATGCGGCGGATGCTGCTGTTGCTGCTGCTGCTGTAGCTGCAACTGTTGGTGGTGGTGGCTATTGTTGCCGGGCAGTCCACTGCCGCTGGCATTGCTTGTTATGCTGCCGGACCGACTGCCGCCATGCAGCGGCTGTGGCGGCTGGGCTGGCGATACAGAGGACACAGACGAAGACGAATTATTGACAACAGCGGGATATGAGATCAACTGTTGCTGTGGAAACGTCGACTTGATGGCAGCAGCCCCATTTGCCAGCAGCGCCGGCGAATGCGAGGCGTGGGCGCCCGCCGTCAAAGGCGGCGGCGGTTGCGGCGCCTGTGCGGACATCGTTAGGCGATTCGATTCCGGCGTGTGGGCAATGCTCGTGTAATGCTGCAGCGAAACCAGATCAAATAATGTGACAACCGTTAAAAAAGGATATTCTAGTTTAGATCACATCAGATATTAACAATACATAAGTGTATTTATTAAGCTTTTTTTTTCTTTCTATTTTGTTTTTTTTTTTATGGACACACTCACCATCTGCAGCACATCGCACTCCTTGGGCACAACGTGCAGCGTTAGCACCGCTGGCGTCTGCTTGATCATCGACACAATTGTGCTGTAGGCAATGCCAGCGATCGGCGTGTTGTTCACCATTAGCACCCGGTCGCCCGTCTGTAGATTGGCGTAGTGAGCCGGTCCGTTCGCTTGCACCTCTTTGATGAAAATGGTCTCCATCGCTTTCACTTGGTATGGCGGCAGCGACGTTGGTGACGTTGGCTCCAAGCCGACGACACCGCCGCTGCCGCCGCCAACGTTGCCGCCGCCGACAACGTTTGTCGCTTCCTACACAAAACGTAAAAAGCAAAAACACAAAAACGTGAAACGGCAACAACAACAATAAACAACAAAACAAGTAAGACTGCTCTAGTCTAGAGCGCCCGACTACCCAGATACCCTGTGCGAAGCGTTCAGCTGCCGTAACAAGCATATTAATTTACTTCTTTACATAATTTATCCACATGATACGCATATGTCAGTTGGGCTTATTTTTTTATTTTTCACCCCTACGCGCATTTCAATTTTGCGGAGAACGCAAAAAAGTAAAATATTTTACATCTGTCTGAACATTACGTGAAACTTATTTTGGTGTCCTAACTTTAATGATCAGCGAGATCTACTCAAAGGCCTAAAAATGGAAAGATACTTTTCAAAATTAAAATCCCAGCTCTTAGTTTTGTAGATCAGAAAGTCTGTTCACCCATACATTATATATTCATGCTTTATGTGGCGGAAGATCCTTCCTTCTGTCTATTTCAGATATTTCCACAAAACTGTTATACTTTTTCTCAGCCATTACCAACGATTACAGGGTATAATTAATGGCAAATAGGAGAGCGGCTCAGTGAGCGTAAGGCCCCAAAGAGAGAAAGAGAGCAGGAGAGGGAGAGCGCAACGAGCATATAATAAAAGTAAAGTGAGCAAAAATTGCAAAAAAAAAAAAAAATAAAAATCAAGTCAAAGAGTGGCAGCGCAAGAGAGACAGGCAGAACATTGGCGAATTCAACACGACGAATTTGGTATGCTCTACATTTGGTATGAAACGGAAAAATTTGTTCGAAACTAAATTGAATTTGTTTAGCGACATTTTACTTGCACTTAAACTTATGCTTTTAGACTAATATAAGGATATGGAACATATAACTAGACTCGAATAATCGTAGGCTGTTGAACGAAATCAAATCACATTGGTCAAGTTTATCGCTTAAGCAACAAAAGGAAATGAAACACTAAAAGCGTGTAAATAATGCATATTCTACATCATCGAAAATGGTATTTGTATTTTATATTAGCAGAAATCAAAAATTCGGTATTGAGCGGTCAATATTTTGTTATTTTTGCTACTAACTTTGGGGAAAACCTATCAGTGCCAAATTGATTTCTTTCATTAATATCTTATCAGAGCTGAGAATAACTCTTGAATTTATTTTGGAAGATTTAGCTATATTCAGCAAATTCTTTTGTGGCGCATATGCATATAAACGGGCACAACTAATCTCTCATATGGATATGTATGTATATATATGTATATATTATTTAAATTTTAATTGTGTGTGCTATAAAACAAAAGTTTATTAAAATGATCTATTGTTTATTTATAGCGCCCGTTGCAAATTCTTTGAAGCATGAGATATACTTCAGCTACCCTGGCAAGGGCAAAAAGAAAGCAGCGGCGCGCATTTGAATATGCGGCGCGTGCGTTACGCTCACGTAACGGCAGGCAGCGACTGCGCGATTGTGACTGTGGCAGAGACTTGCCAGACCGCCAAAAAAAAAAAATATGAAAAAAAGCAAAAGTGGGAAGGCAATCCGATGACTAATTGGAGATGCAGGCACTAGGCTATGCTCGGCTGCTTGGCTGCTGGACTGGCGCGCATGCGTATTGCTCTTGGCTCTCTTACACTCTCGCTCTCTCCCATGCTCTCTCATACGAACTTGCACGCTCTCTGAGCTTGAGCGATCGCCCTGTCAGGCTGTGACGCTTACCTGAGGCCAGCTGGCGGCATCATCTTCCGGTGGATAGGCAATAAAGTGACGCAGCGTAAAGCCGAAGCCCTGATTCGGACGCCTCCGTATGACAACCAGCTTTGGCTGTATCGATGACGCGGCTATCGCTGCATTGTTCGCTGCCGCTGCCGCAGCGACTGCTGTGCTGGGCGTCGCTGCCTGCGCTGCTGCTGCCTGCGCTGCTGCTGCCACCGCTGCTACTGCATTCGAGTTTTGTAACATTTTCGGTTGGGTTTTCTGCGCCAACGCCAGTTTGGGCCTGCGGCCGCTGCTGCTGGGCTCTCTTTTTCTTCCTGGCTAGGAGTTGCTGTGGAGCTGAAGATGTTGCTGCTGGCTAATGTCTAGTTGGGCAACCTGCTATTGGCGGCTGCTTCTGCTGCTTTGCTAGTTACGTGTTGCACCCTCATTTGTTTGGGAATACGTTGCGCTCAGCACCGAGCAAAAAAGTCGTCCACTTGTTGTTGTTATCGTTGTTGTGGTTGTTGTTGTTGTTGTTTTTGTTGTTGTTGTTGTTGTTGCTATTGTTGTCTGTTGATCTGGTTGAAGTCAAAGTTCTGTGGCCCGATCTTGGGGCGTCAGGACGCCCATGGTAAAGCTCCACGGGAGCATAGCACTAGACTTTTAATGTTCCTATCGCATTGGTTCTATTAATACTGCGACCTAGAAGTGATAATTAACTATTATTAATACTTTTTCATTGCTATTACTGTTATTATAGGTAATACTATTATTACCTATTATTATTATATTAAATTTGTTTTTATTACTATTTTTAATTTTACTTTTATTATTAAAATTAAAAGTTAATATTTTTATTTGATCTTTTATACAATTTGAGAAACAAGTCCTTAACAAGAGGTCTCCAGTTAAGTGTGTTCGACCAGTATATATGTATGTAGGTCTGACTTGCACTAATACGCATATATTTTTGCTTATACACCCAGACAATTTGCCCTACCCATAGAAATATACCTACATATATATTTTTAAATATATTTAAAGTGGAACCAATCTTGAATAAAGTATTCCGACTGAAGTGAAAGGAAGACAAAGGATCATTAAATTGGCCGGAAATAGCCGAAGGACAGAGATTGGAAAGCAGAAAGCCAGTTCAAATTATCAGTTAATAAGTGAAGTATATTAAAAAACATAAGTAAAAAAAAAAGACGTAGGTGAGCTCATGAAAATCATATGGAAAGGCGATATCAAGGATTATAATAATCTCTGAGTGATTGGAATATAGAATGTATAGACTTTATAAGATTAAAGATGACTCCTTCTGCCTGTTGAATATGTTTGAGCTACTTTCATATAATCTTTTTTTACAAGTTAAAATGTGTGGGGCGGGTTAGAGAATAAAAAATATCGTAATTAAGTTATCTCATACGTAAGTCTTAAGTCCAAATTCTTGCAAAAGGGTATTAACCCTAGTTAGCCACAGATTTTAATTTGTTCTTGTTTTCCTTTTATTTTTTTTTGTAGTTGGCCTTTTTTTGTAGTTTTATTATCGCACAACCTCTGCATGTTGCCTGCCCGTACTTTCCAATAGATGGTACTCAGGCATAACTACTATGTAACACTCTAGACTCTCAATGTACAGTTACTTAAGTGCTTTTTACTATAAAAGCCCAAAAGCTTTAAGACCAACAATATTTTACGGCTTTAATTACAATCGTCGTAAAAAATAAACAATAACAACTAAGCACGTCGTACGCGGGCATCATCAACAGCGCAATACACTGTAAATACCGCTTAAAGCAGCTGCAAAGGGTCGTCTGGACCAATAGGCTTGATGTCTCTTAAGGTTGTAGTTTAAAAGTTTAAAAAATGACCTCTTGCAGAGATAAACGTTTGCGATTCTTAAATGCGGTATTTGGCTTGGCTGGAATATTTCAAGAGATCTTAAGTAGTCTGTGGGACACTTCGATTTTTGTGGTTAGCCCGCCCCCTAATGGGTGTGGTTCAAACAATTTGAACACCTTGTCTGACGCAAATATATGTACATACTTATATTCCAAGTTTGCAGTCTCTCTAGTGACAAAACAATTGCGGTCAAACGCACTTTGCGCAAAACTAATATACTCGTTTTTACATTGTGAGTAGAAGAAAGCAAAGCGAATAATGTGTGGACATTGACCGCTAAAGTGTTGGCTGTTGAAAAGTGTAACACGCCCAGTCGCACCTCCAAGCCGTTGCAGACGGAAAGGTTCGGGTCGGAGCTGACGTAAAAATTGTAATTAACATAACATTTTTTTTTTATTTGTGCTTTGAACTATATAAAAATTCAACAGTTATCTTGAGGGCAACGAATGCAATACGATTTTTCAACTGAAATTAATCAAATTTTCTTAAGCTCAGAAGCATATGTTTTATTTGGTTTTAATTATATTCGATTAAATATTTTATAATTGGAATTTATTTTGGCTCGAATGAAGGTGAGCAGAAAACTACTTTATATATAGAGTGTAGGGCATCTTAAAGTTGGGCATGCGTTTGGGTATATCCTTGAATCTGTTGCCAACATTTGGACATTCTTTCGGTTCTAGGTCATTTCTTTGCCTTGACAAAGTAATTATACCCTTTCACAAGTATATTTATGGTTTTATTATTATTATTATTTTTTTTTATTGTTTTCCTTTTTTCAAGGTAAGCCAGTGTGACCCACCGACTTGGCGCCTTGTCATGGGGGTGTACCAAACTGTCGAATTGGATTGCCATTAGCAGAGGAGTCGGAGATAGTGGAGGAAGGGGTAGGGGGGAGGAGGTTGTGCATGACACAAAGGCAGAGCTGTTAAGCTTTAAAGTGCACAAACACATGCATTCCTTGCATGTTTTTTGTATTTTTGATGAGATAATTTGACCGATCAACGCCCCCTTTTTATAGCAATTGTATCGCATGTGTGTGTGTGTGTGTGTGTGTGTGTGTGTGTGTGTGTGTGTATGTGTTTTATTGATTTTATCGTAACGCGCAGTAATTAAACAACAATTGCGACAACAATGACAACTCGTGAATTAATACACGTGTAATTACAAACAGAGAAACAACGAAAAATAAAAATAAGTAAAACAAATCGCTCGGACACTGGGCTATAATTGTTCCATTGTTATAGTAAATCGCGTACAACGTTTATACAATAATTCAGTGTTAATTGTAGCCGATTTAACAATGAAAACAACTGATGAAAAGAGTGTGTCAAGTGTGTCAGCAGCCGATTCACGTTACATACTATATTTAAATCTATTTATCTAATCTGTACGTGCTACTGTTTCAGTTATTGCACATAACTGTCAATTGATATGTGGCTCGTAGTGAAGCTTCAAATCTATCGCTGATAATTTCAATCGATAACTAGCATTTTTATCGATTTACGAGTTCGATTAGAAAACGCTTTTGCATTTCACGCGTTTCGCATTTGATGCGGTATCGAATTCGGGCAGTCGCAATTGTTAAATAATTGACAATTATAAAAATGTATCTTAAAATACATTTTACATAAATCTTTTTTAAATATAAAGTTTTAAGCGCAACATGTTTTACCGCTGTTTTCCACCTATTTCACACACTTACAGGTGGAATTTTCCAACACGTCTTCTAAGTGTGAACTTGGGCCAAATCAAATAAGTTCAACTTGTCAAAATTGAACAACTAAAATATGTATTTGATATACTTTCATGCCAAATGAAGTTTTTCTATTCAAATAAAATCAAGTGGAAATCGAACCGCAAAGGATGGACTTAACTCCTTAACGTCTACCAATAAATGCATTTAACTTCGAAAACCGATTGAAAATCGTTTCGCAAAAGAAAAGAGTAAACTAGAAGAGATAACATGACAACAACTCTAGTTCGAAAAGTATTCACATATATAGATCGAATCGCACAGTTTACTTTGCTACTTTGATTTGCCTATATTCGCACGATCGGATCGTTTGCTCGATATCACCCAGGTCTGTCGACCCGTTATTCGATGGGTAAATAAACAAAGCAAAGAAAGAAAACACGGGCAAGGCGAGGCAACAATATACGTATCGCTTGCGAGCTTTATTGACTATTCTTAAGTTCTCGGTTTTTTTTTTTTTCTTATTTGTTCTGTTCTCTTTTGTGTCTTCTTCTTCCGTATACTTGTGATAACAATTAAATTGATTGTTTTGCACTACGAATCGAAAATCGAGTGGAAAATGAGCCGAAAGGCAAAAGCGCTTGGCCCCAAAGACCCACAGAGAAAATGTGTGTAATGAGCGAACAAACGGTAAAAGTATCAAAGTATCCAACTATAGACCCCCCCCCCTGAACAACGGACAACGCACACATTACATCAATCACAGCGTCGAGGGGGCGGTGATCAGTCAAGAAAATAAAAGCCTTAAACCCGAAATAACAAACAAATTGGTCAGTAATAAAATGAAATGTACGTGTATCATCCGAATCACGCAGAAGAACGGGAAAACTGATGAGCACAACGAAACAGTTATGCTCCCCACTCCGCCCCCTCTTGGTTCTTTATTCTCATTAATAATGATTCTTGAGCGGATCCAAGAGATAGCTGAGTGTTACAATTGATTTGGAATAGTTGTTAATCAGAATGGATAGAAACTGAGCCAGACCGATTTTCTGCTATTTATTCTGGTATTATTATTACTCTTTCCGAAGTTACCAAATTCTATTCTTGATTTTGAATGATTTTTTGAAATAAAGTTCCGGCTAGAGTTCATTCAGATCGAAAGCTCAATGTGTGAGGGGCCCGGGCGATAAGCGCATCCTTGACTGAACTAGATTAACTTTAATCTGGGCTGTCAGACCTTAAATGTGGCGCCCCTAGTAATATTGTTTGCTTGTTATTCTGGCCATTAATTTATGGCATACCATTTTGTTTCCATTTCGAATATTTACAGCTGCACTTATCATAACGCGATTACGATTACACGACGATTGTATATACTATATATAAACTTTCCATACATCTATACATATATTAATGATAATGTCCGAATCGATAGGGCAAGTGCACGTTCAATGCACAATTTTAAACTTGAATCAAAACAAACAGAAAACACAATAAAATTATCATCTGTATCTTGTATCTGCCGTTAATTGTTTTGGTTCTTTGTTTATGGAGTTCCCAGAATGGAAACAGTATTGAATAAAAGAAAGAACATATGTGATATGTATAACGGAAAGTTCCTTATAGGTATACATCAGAGGAGGATCTCAAGAAAGCCTCGATACAAACTAGCTAAGAAACTTGTAACAAATGCTCCATATTTGAAGAGAGTGCTCGACTGGTGGATGCCCTGTACTCAGTGCTGACTTCTCTCAGGGACGCAACTAATGTAAAATGCATTCTAGAACAATCGATGTTTATTGTCCGATCTTCATAAAACTTATAAATTTGATATGCAAGGATTTCCATAAATCGATTCGATAAATATTAAACATAATGTTCTTTTGCTAGCCCCAATTGCATGCTACAGGAGCGGATGGTGTCTTCATCTGCTCGTATATTTTACTGATCATAATACAAGTACGAATAGATCGAAATTGTTATTGCCGCCTTGGCACATGGTAAATTAAACACACATTATTGAAATGCTCGTAAGCACATCAAAGCATTTGCCGACCTGAACACGAGTCTCGAGTATTTATCGACAACTCAAACAGTC